CAGGGTACATCTGGTTATAGATGATAGAGGCATAATCACTAATCCTGGCGAACATTATCTTATGTACAGGAAGGCGCAAGAGGGAGGGTCAGTGCACTTATCTTTTCTAAAAACAGTTATCCAGGTGAGACTTGGGAACCTGTGCTCTATCCTGCTTTTCGACTCCAGGGCATTCTTCCACAGGGCTGCGCTTAGTCACTGAGGGGCTTTGTGAAATTCTGCTGGCAAACAGAACGGTCTTTCTCCAACGTCCTTCATTTCGTACAAATCTGAAAGCCCAGTGTTTTTGTTTCAAAATGATAACATGCTCTTCACATCACTCGGCGCCTAGCCTGTCTCCTTAAGCCCTGAGCGACCACCGCTCCAGCAGCGAAAGCGGGAGGTGGGGCGGGCTGCGCACGCGCAGGGCTGAAGGCCTAGCCCTGGGCTGCGGCGAGTCCCACGTGGGTCCTGCGCGGGGAAAGAGGGGGGGACTGCGCACCTGCCGCAGCCAACTTTCAGGGGCTGGAGACATTTGGTGGCTCCACTAATCTGTTTTTCACTTTACGAAATTGGCAGCCAGAGCTTGTGTTATGGGCTAGTAGCTGCAGCCAAGTGAACCGGGGAATCTGATGCTGGGAATCTGCGCACTTCCTTCTGAAAACAGGCGTGTGGAGCCAGGCTCCTAGGAAGTGCTCTGCTGCGGCCCACCACAGTTAACTGATATGCTCCTTTATCACTTAAAACCCAAACTACGGTGGCATTAAATTCCATGACTATAAGGGCATTTGTCCTAGCCCCTACTCGTTAAATTAGTGACTGGAAAACATTGAGCGACCTGACGAAGATACTTTAGGGCAACGTCTTTTTGTTTTGTTTTGTTTTGTTTTTAACAACAAATGAATGACGTAAATCTCAGGTACAATTTAGTATTCATCAGTTTTATTTTTCAACTTGTATTATTACTATCACTAATAAATAGCAGCTGTTGAGCCCTTATTTTTCAGAATAGCGTAATGAGCCTCTGATTGCTACAAATACACATGGAGAAACAGGTTTACAGGCGTTAAGCACCTTAGTCACACAATTTGCATGGAGCTTGCATTGAAAAATTAGTTCCAAAACTCGATTTCTTCTCTCCTGCCTGTCTTTTCAATCTTGCTGTGTAAGTTTCTCATCAGTCTTTACGTTTGAGGAGAGAAAAAGGACCGTGGATTTTTTTTTCTCCACATTCTGTCAAAATATTTAAGCAGGCCACCGATAGTGAGATGAGTAGAAAGAGCACTGTACCACATCCAAGGAGGGCAAAGAAAAAAGAGCACTGAATAACAAGAACCTGGATTTCAGTCTTTGCTAGTATTTCTTTTTGCTTGGGCTAGAACAGTGGTTCTTAAAAGTGTCACCTGGTATCTTGTTTGAAAGGCAAATTCTAAGGTCCTACCCCATATCTACAGAATCAGGTGGGGGGGGCACAGCAAGGATGCTCAAATTTGAGAGCAAGGAGACTAAAGAATGCTTTCCTCATAATATAAAGAAGGTATTTTAGGCCAGGGTGTGGTGGCTCACACCTGTAAACGCAGTGCCTATTTAGGCCAAAGCAGGCGGGTCCCTTGAGCCCAGGAGTTGGAGGCTGCAGTTAATTATGATGGTTCCACAGCCCTCCAGCCTGGGCAACAGAGGGAGACTCTGTCTCTGAAAATAATAATAGTGTTCTAATTCTTGCTGAGATGATCAAATTTAAAAGGTAAAGGTACAAGACAAGCTCTTGAAGTAACATTTTTGTATCACAGCAGCTTGCTTGGCATTTTCATTGTGCTTTTTACAGCTTTATTTCCCACTATTTCAAGAGAAGAAATTGATATGAAGTATATGTTCAAGTTGGGAAGTTCCTTAGTCTAAGCTTAAAACTTGCACTAGCATGGGCTGGCTGCTATCATTTGACCTTCCACAGCAATTCTAATGGAGGTATCACTCTGTCCCAGGGGGTTAATATATCTATGTCTTGTCTGAAGATAGTTGTCTCACTTGACTGTTCAGTTAGATTGAACTTCTTGTTCTACTGCTTACTCCCCCTTGTCACTACTGCACTTGTCAAAAAAAAAAAAAAGTATGTGTATAAATACACACACGCACCTATGTATATGTCTCTGTTGGTGGTTTTCAACCATAGCTGCATAGGCTATACCCAGCCCAATTACACCAGGTAATTCCAATTGTAGCCAAGGTTCAGAACCAGTACTGTCAGCAGAAAAAACTTGTGAAGCTAATTTCGTGAAGTACATGGGATGTAATGGAACTCTACTCCTATTGCCTACAAGTGTGATGGGCAGAAGCATCAGAGAAAGTGATGAGTTATGCTGGGGCCAGGAACTGCACTTGTGTGGAACCTGTATTCCTGTGAATGAGGACCTTGGCCAATTTTTAAGAGGCTTTGTTTTTTCAGACCACTCTGCAGAATATAACCATATGACTTTTTTCTGTTAGTGTCCTTAGGATTTTTTATTGTGGTAAAAAAAAATGTAACAAAATTTCCTGTTTTAACAATGTGTACACTTTAGTGACATTATTTATAATGTTGTGCAACCATCATGACTATTTCCAAAACTTCATCACCCCAACAGAAACTTTTTTGAGACAGTCTCACTCTGTTGCCCTGGCTAGAATGCCATAGCATCAGCCTCGCTCACAGCAACCTCAAACTCCTGGACTCAAGGGATCCTCCTGCCTCAGCCTCCCAAGTAGCTGGGACTACAGGCATGTGCCACATCACCCGGCTAATTATTCTGTATATACAGTTGGCCAATTAATTTCTATTAATAGAGAGACAGGGTCTCGCTCTTGCTCAGGCTGGTCTCGAACTCCTGACCTCAAGCAATCCGCCCGCCTCCCAGAGTGCTAGGATTACAGGCGTGAGCCACCGCGCCCGGCCTGCTAATTTTTTTCTATATAGATTTAGTAGAGACGGGAGTCTCGCTCTTGCTTGGGCTGGTCTGGAACTCCTGACCTTGAGCAATCCTCCCACCCGGCCTCCAGAGTGCTAGGATTATAGCGGTGAGACACTGCACCTGGCCCCAAACAGAAACCTATAAACATGAATTAACTTCCCTTTCACCTCCCCCTGGCTCTACTGCTTTGATATCTCTAACATTTCTGCCTCAATGAATTTTCCTAGATCCTATATCCATGGTTGGTTCCAGGACCTTCCTTGGATACTAAAATCTGAGGATGCTCAAACCCTTCATATAGGGGTTATCTGTAAAAATTTTTGAATGTCCTTTAAAAAACATTCTTAAATGCATTATAATGTACGTACATTGTAGAAATTTTTAGAATTAGTAAATAAACCCAGTGAAAATTAAAATCTGTCACAAGCATTATCTTGAACACTTTTGATCAATTATACTTTTTGGAACATCTGCTTCACATTCACAAAACATTGGGGTAGCTGTCTGGCACAAACTAAAACAATCCAGTGATAACAGAAGAGGAAGAAATTGTCAACTATGAATGCCACTGTGACAAGAAATACAAGGCTTGGAACATTTCTTACACCAATTTAGTTTCTCCTTTTTAAACTCAAGTGTTCTCTCTCTGAGGCAAACTTAAGATACAGCCCACTTGCAAGCTTGGAAATGTTTAAGCTTCTTGACTGCAGCCAGAACCAGACAGACTATATAGGTAAAAAGTCCTCTTGTATTATTACTTGCAATGTTTGCAAGTTTTCTAAGCCCCCTTTCCTTGGCTCATTACCAGTCTTCCACCTTTACTCCCCACCCTGCGTTAATATTAAACATTTAACTATAGTTCAATAGTACTTCTTTGTATTACTTGTTTTAACTAGTAAATGAGAGACCCCATAATACGCTGAAATAAAAAAAACCAAAACCAAAACTATAAAAGAGAAGCTATGTATCTTAATTAGGTGAAAGGGCCAATTCTTTGATTGTCTGGGGGGTGTGAAAAAAAAGCCTGTAGTGACACACATTGGAAATGGTTTGTAACCAGTATATTAAAGAGACATTCATACATTTCAAGAACTGCTTATATTCTGATACCCAGATTTAAGCATGTGAACACATCAATGAGACTTTAAACATACAATAAAGCTATTCATCGTTTGCTAACACCAACATTGAAATTACAGTTACTTTGGAGCATAAGTCAATGGTTTAAAGTAAGCCTGTAACATACCTAAAGAAGCCTTCCTATATTAATGCATGCAAATTACCTCTCCATGTAGGTCTCTTCTTCAACTTCTTTCCATTTTGGAAGTTACTACTCAGGGGGGCTACATGGTCCAAAAGAAGAGGGAAAAAATAACCAAGACTGGTCAAGTTACATATATTGGATATATTATATATGGATGGCAACGAGGGAATGCAACTCTAGAAGTGCAAGCCCTCAAGAAGCAGCATATTAGATACACCCTTCTTGGGCATCTTTTCTATCACTGATACCATGGCTAGATTATGTAGTATGCCATCTTCAAGTATACAGCTGAGGCAAAATAAATTCAGAGGCCACAATGAATCCCTAATACAAATAACTATACGACCAACTGTTATCCATTAAGTTTCTTTTTCGTCGCCAGTTACACGAGTTTATTCATAGCTTAACAATGAAGGGTCATAATGAAGCACAATCATACACTACGCATTTCAGTGTAAGCTTGTCCACATACATAGCTGAAATCAATTACAAGGTTTAGCCTAATAATGCTAGGGAACTTTTTCTAAAGTAATTTTTTACAGGTATTAAATTTCACCTTGCACTGACTCATACATACAGGCAGTCAGCTTTTATATTTGCGTTTATTCGTTTACATTAAAACAACTACTATGAATATATAAAAAACAATAGTAAGTAGTGAGCGTATTATGATATAGTCCTTCACTCATTTCACTACTGCATATAAATGTCAGCAGTGACTCATTCACTGCCTCATTAAAGAGTTTGGGGGGGACCACTGACACCACCTCTGGGATGATGTTCATCATCCTCCATATGCTTCTCATTGTAAGGCGCCGTCTCTCTTGATTTGATACAAAGTCACGAGTTCTACTTGATCCATTTCATCATCCTTCTACTTCCTTCCTCTCAGGTAGGAGTTTTTCCAGCAAAGACAGTTTATCAGGAGAAAGAAAGCCATTTTCAGGAAAATTTACCTACAAAAAGAAATTTCTACTGTAAGTTCAGTCTGACTTCATCATTAGCTCCTTAGACAAAAAATCGTGGACCCATTTCCCCCAGAAAAACACATGTAAACACATAGTATTACAAAGTGCTTCTGCTCAATCTTAGGATGCCAGTTATAGCCTTCATTAATAAAATACCTACCATGCATCCCCTCCAACCTATCTTCAAATAGTCTGTTAATGATGCAAATAAACCCAACTTGTTTAACGAGGAATGCTCAACAGGACAGTAGAGTACTATTAACAGAGCAATGTATTTTTTCCTGGATAAGGGAGAATATAAATTTGAGGTTGCCTGGCATTCAGAAGATGTAATTCTGTGTCAGATTTTAATAAGTCAATAATGCTAAATTTGAGACACAGTCTTCACCCTGTTGCCAAGGGCTCAAGTGATCCTCCTGTCTCAGTCTCCCCAGTAGCTGGGATTACAGTACACCACCACACCTGGCTAAATTAAAAATAATAAAAAAATAAAATTAAGAGATGACATCTCACTATGTTGCCCAGGCTAGTCTCCTACTCCTGGCCATCCTGTGATCCTTCCTCTTCGGCCGTACGAATCGCTAGGATTGTGGGTGTGAGCCACCATACACAACCAATTCTCAAACATTCTTGAGTACTTTAAAGCTTACCTTAAATTCGATGATTAGGCGACCCTTTTCATACGGTCTACGATAAATTGGCATGCCTTCATTTAGCACACACTTGATATCTCCATGCTTGACAATCTGACCTAAAAACATTGAAGCCAAGTTCTTCCTTAAGTATGCTCACATTTTTATAACACAAGAAATTAAAAAACAGAGAAGAATGTCCTAGCTCATTGGGAGAGTAAATTTATGTGGTGAAACAATCCTGTTGCCTTTCACATATGGTTTTCTCAGGGGCTGCCAAAAAGAGCCAAGGTCTTATGACTTTATGTCAGACTTGAGGATATGTAACCAAGGAAGAAAAACACCTTGTTTTTCTCTCAGTGCCTATAGTACTTAAGTTATCAGGAGACAAGGAAAACACTAGAGAAGAGAAGCTCAACTAGTTACCATACCTGGATGAGAGGTGATGACTATGGTTCGGTTGTCAAGAGTAGATATTGGCTTCTGGAAGCCACATAATGCTTCAACCAGCTGTATGTCCATACACATGAAAAGGTCTTCTCCTCGTCTGTATCAATGCAAATACGACACATTTATATTTTAAATCACCAATGACTTTATGTACCAAAGACGACAATTGTGTTTTCTTAACACCAAGGGTGTCCTTCACAAAGACACCCTTTCTTCTCTCATTGTAAAAATCAAAACAGCTGAGGGCCGGGCGGTGGCTCACACCTATAATCCTAGCACTCTGGGAGGCTGAGGTGGGAGGATTGCTCGAGGTCAGGAGTTCAAAACCAGCCTCAGCAAGAGTGAGACCCCGTCTCTACTATAAATACAAAAAGAAATTAATTGGCCAACTAATATATATAGAAAAAATTAGCTGGGCATGGTGGCACATGCCTGTAGTCCCAGCTACTCGGGAGGCTGAGGCAGCAGGATTGCTTGAGCCCAGGAGTTTGAGGTTGCAATGAACTAGGCTGACGCCATGGCACTCACTCTAGCCTGGGCAACAAAGCGAGACTCTGTCTCAAAAAAAACCCAGCTGAGAACAGGAACACTCGAAACCTGCCAACCCTATTTTCTGGTCAAGGCTTACAAAAATCCTCCCAAACACTTTTTAGGCAGTCTCTACCACTTACCATGTCTGAATTGTTCCCTTACCTAGTTTTAAATCTGGTTTCTCAGAAGAGGAGAGAGGCTTAAATAAAGCAAACATACATAAGGGATAGGATATCATGGTATAAGTCAAACAGATATGGCCTGAGTTCTAGATAATGTAGGCTTGATGAAATTAAGTTATGATATGTAACCAATTTCAAGGGACAGTTAAGAATTTTTTTCCCCAACAAAAAGCACAGGCTTAATGATGTACATGAAATATAGCGCGCCTAGCACATTATGAGGGAGCATAGTCTTTTATGTTTAACAACAGTCCACACCTCCCTCCTGACTTTCCTCTTTTCCAATTCATATTAATAAAACATCTTTAATCAGGAAGAATATTCCCCTCAAATAACAGCATCAAAATCCTGAGCTTGATGGCATTTCCCATTATTTTGAGACACTCGTAAAATATTAATTCTAAACTGGTTCTTTCAAGATGTTATCCCCAACTGACTCCCCTTATACGTTTTGCTACAAGCCATAAATATTTAACACAAACATTCACTGTTGACCATCCATCTTTCTTGTGCTTTAGTATAAGTTCATCATAAACTCAGTATAGTAAACCTGAATTTATATAAGGAATATTGAGTCTCAACTGCAGTTTCTTAGAGAGGTGGTTTTGGATATTTACCATTAATAGCAATTCATCTAAATCACAATGAAATTTATCATGAACCCAGGATTGAAAATTGGTGAAAGCTTTACAACACTTTAACTGTTTATACAAAAATTAAGGGCAAAAATTTGTCTACAGATGTTTCCCTCAGCCACCTAACCTGTTTATGCTTACACATCTCCTAAATGAAATATACTTTCCAAGTTCCAGATTAGGAAACAATTTACTTAGAGAAAAAGCTAAAATCTGATCCTATTTGTTTTCAGCCTCTTTTAAAATGGAAAAAATGGTTGACAACCTTGTACAAGATAGATAGCATAACTCTCTTGCTATACTTTTCTAGGGAATTTCCAGGAAATATGTTCTTAGAGTGATGGAAAGCTCATTAAAAACAAAAAACACCAACCCAACAACTCAAGTATGCAAGATGTCAGTATGAATGGTTGATTAAAGTCTTTACCGAGTAAAAACAGCATGGTCCTTCTGATCTAACACAATGATAATATCTCCTGGCTCTAGTCCTGGTTCTTGGTCTCCTTCACCATGGAATGTTATCTTCTGGCCATCTTTCATGCCTAAAAACAAAAGGTTAATTTTGTACTCTCATTGAATATCCAACTAAGATCAGAATCACAAAATCTACACATGGATCTGTTTGTACATGCATAAAAAAACCCCAAAAATGTTAAAAAAAAAAAAAAAAAAGGCTCTGTGGATGCCAAATCACAGAAATGACTAAGAAAGTCCACTTAATTAGTTCAGTCCAATTTGCTACTGAAGAAAGCTATCACAGCTGAGAACAAACTCTAAAGGCAAACAAACAAGACCTGGCTTCAAATCTCAGAGCTGCAACTGAGTGGCTAGATTACCCTGGGGAAGCAATTTGCATAACCTTCCTAAGTTTCAACTCTCCCACAGAGAGACCTACCACATTAGGACTGCTCAGAGAATTAAATAAAAAAGTTTATGCTGGTACCAAGTCAGTGACTGGTAAACATTATAACCAATAAATGTTAACTATTTTCAATTTCATTACCTATAAGAACATGTATCAAACTACTTTTATTAAGTCTAACAACAGTGGAAAGGAAAACCTCTTTTTTATATATATATATGAAACCTATTTATAAAACTAAATATCCATTATCTTTCTATGGATTAACCGTTCAAGCCAGGTGGCTCACATCTGTAAATCCCAGCACTTTGGGAGGCCAAGGCGGGTGAATTGCTTATGCCCAGGAGTTGGGGGCTTCAGTGAACTATAATTGCACTACTGCACTCCTAACAGGGCCAGACCTTGTCTCAAAAAGAAAAAAAGGAAACAAAATAAACACCAACCATAAATAAAACATTCAGTTTATCCCCCTTAAAAAGGGATAATCTGTTAGCCCATGTGATCACTGTCAAAAATATATAGAGGAGTATTTTCCAATGGACTATAATTTTTTAAAGGCCAACACCTGATACTCTACACCTCCTTCTCTCACTATCCTCAACTCCATTTTGAGTTGAGCAAATAAAGCTCGCTATCTCTTTAAACACACCATTCCTGTAAGAAATGTGGTTTCGCAGACTTAACTGTTCGCAGTTATCTTATTTCCTGACTATGTCACTGGCTTATCAAATGAGCAATTAGTTTTCACTTTCTTAGAATGGAAATATAAACCTACATACACCGGAGCCGATAGCTAGAATCCTGAATTTCTAGTAGGCCCATCAACATGATTTAGTGGCTTTTAAACTCATGATTGGCTGGGCACGTACCTCCCGCCGCTGTAATTCTAGGCACCGTCCTGGAGGCCAAAGGCGGGAAAATCACTCAAGGCCAGGAGGTTCAAAACCAACCTGAACAAGAGCAAAACAACCGTCCTCTACTGAAAAATCGAAAGAAAATTGGCAACAAAAATATTATAAAAAAAACATATAAGAAAGATATCCATACAAGTAACGGTAGGCTAAGTGTGGTGCCCCCCACCTCCACCATAAACATAAACAGCATTGTGGAGAGAACTGAGTTGGGAAGGACCTCGCTTGGCCCAGCAGAGTTCGCAGTTTTGCAGTGGAGCCTTATTAGGATGAAGCCACTCGCGAACCTCCAGTCCTACCGGTGACAAAGTAGTCTCAAAAAAAACCACAAAGAGGCCGCGCGCGTGTGGCTCACGCTGTAATCCTACATTTGGGAGGCCAGAAGCGGGCGGATTGCGCAAGGTCAGGAGTTCGACCCAGCCTGACGCCACGACCCGTCTCTACAAAAATAGAAACAATTAATTGGACCAACTAAAAATCAGTATATATCAAACAATAGCCGGGCATGGTGCGCATGCCCTGTAGTCCCCATTTACTCGGGAGCTGAGGCAGAGAGATGCTGAGCCCCGGGAGGATTGAGGCTGCGTGAGGCCAGGCTGTACGCCCACGGCAACACTCCTAGCTGGGCCAACAAAGTGAGACTCTGTTTCAAAAAAAAACAAAAAAAAAAGACCACAAGAACACATGATCTGCCTAACTCAAAGTAAATAAGAATGGGGAAAACTTTAATTGTATTTTTTTTTCTTTTTTTGAGACAAGACGGTCCTCGCTGTGCCCCAGGCTAGAGTGAGGCCGTGGCGTCAGCCTAGCTCCACAGCAACCTCCAAACACTGCCTGCTCAAGCAACCCTTCTGCCTTACAGGCGCTCCCAAGTAGCTGGACTACAGCGCCCATGTGCCAGCCATGCCAGGCTAATTTTTTATATATATCGATATGAGGTATTAGTTATATTATACTAGCACTATATATTATGGGCGATATATTATATGACTAGTTGTACCCATTGAGCTTGGCCACAATTAATTTCTTTCCTATTTAGAGTCAGCAGCACGGGGTCTTCGCTCTTCCCTCAGGCAGTTTCTGAACTGCCTGACCTTCGAGGCCAATCCGCTGCCTGCCCTCAGCCTCCCAGGAGTGCTAGGATGAGCAGACGCTGAGCAGGCGCCCGCTTAATTGTAATTTTTAAAAAAAAATTAAAGCCCTATACTTTAACAAAAATTAAGTTTGAAACACCAATTTACAGCACCACTAATATTAGCAAGATGATGACCTTGTTATATTAGGTGAGAAAATCCCTAATATATTCCCTAATAAGTAACACACAAATATACAAATAAGTCTGGAAGGAAGAATCTTATACAAATAAGTCTGGAAGGAAGAATCTTATTTACTATGTAGCGAAGAGCGATTTCTGGGTGACAGGATCATACATAACCTAAGGATAGTTTTTAAAAACTTATAAAATGTAGTGTTAATAAAATTATGGTATTCAAGACTTCAGAATGAGAAGTGCGCTTAGAACTCACCTTTGTCAATATGAACTTCTAGAATCTTCTTTTCTCGAACTATCTTCCTTCCATTGCAGCTTTTACATCTGTCTTTAGGACTGATCCGTTCCCCATGGCCCTGGCACTCCATGCACACTGATTGAATTTGCTGGACCATTCCAGGTCCTATCTGATGAATTCTTATTTGCATTCCAGTACCTCGGCAATTGGGACAGCACTCTACTGCTCCTTTCTTACCACCTCGGCCTAAATAGTTTAAAAGAAAAATAAACAATGTATGAATTTAGTACCAGATACAATAATGTCTTTAAATAAGAGAATTCCTAAATACTACTTTCTTAATGTACAACTGTGAATGTACAACTCTATTTGATAAGGAGCCATTTCAGAATCTTGAATTTTAAACACGTAGCCCCCTAAATCCCAATTCTTAGGATGACTTCATTTGTGAGATATCATTTTATTGAGTTTCTTTTCAGAAGATACTATATTTCTAACAAATAACTTATATTTATTCAATAAATACCAAATTAGCTTGACCAACTGCATTTAGTGTACATTAGTCAATTTTATATATATCCAGAAAGTCTTCAGCTCCATTTTCAATACCAATATTTTTAAATTTTTATTTATTTTATGTTTTTCGTTAATTTCTTTCTTTTTTTCTTTGCATTAAGATGTTCACACAGATTCAATAATATTTTAAAAGACCATACCTTCACATTTGTCACAAATCACATTCTTTTGCAGAGCCAGTTTTCTTGTTGCACCATTATATAAATCTTCTAAGGTTACTGAGAGCTGATGTACAACATTTTTACCTAAAATAAAATATTTCTCATTAAAAATCTATTCAAGGTGCTGCATAATATTTGTGCTGAAGGCATTAAAAAGTGGCAAAAGATAAGGAAAGATAAGCCTCACAGCACATCTGTCAAATACCTACTACATACACAGAACGCTCACTACATTATCACATATGATCCTCAAACTGTGAAGCAATTACAGATGAGGAAAATTGTGCCAGAGATTAAGTATTTGCCTAAGGACATAGATATGGCCATCTTTGACATGTGGTAATCAAAAAACATTACCTGCAAAAATCACTGGAGAAAACCAATGTTATCTTAATAGGCACATTTCACAATAATCCAAATATTCATTTCAGTCCCAATATATGAAGCTCTCAGTATAGCATTGAGCAACATAGTCAATTACTTCAGCCAAAAATTCTTTAGCACAGTAAATTCCCATTAAGCAAGGAAAGCCAATATATTTATCGATCAATTCCTACTTCCTGATTCAGTAGAAAACATCACTGCTGGACCAGCACTGGTTGTTTAAAGGCTAAATTTCTCATACTCTCTTTAATAGAGCTGTCCAATAGAACTTGTTTGCAGTGATGGAAATGTTTTATATTTGCTGTGTAATATAGCAGCTACTAGTCCCATGCTTATTAACCACATAAATGTGGTTATTGCAACTAAGCAACTATTTTTACTTTTGCCTTAAATCTAAAGAACCTATCTTGGTGTGCCATTCTAATAAACTTGAGGAGACTAAAATAAATAAATAAATAAATAGAAAAAAGAGAAAAAATATATATAAAAAAAGAAGAACCTATCTTGGCCAGAAAATACTTTATGGGAAGAAAAAATAAAGGTTGAGATCACATAAGGACACTAAGGCTACAGATAAGAAGTTACTTGCCAATAGTTAGTTATTAAGCTCCTAGCTAGTGATCCTTCCACAAGGACTTTATCCACCACAAAAAAGTATTGCCTTATGCCAAACTGAAAAAGTTCTCAAACTCTTCTACGCAACATGCCTAATGAACATTTTTACTTTAAAATGAAGCATGAAGTACCATTAACTATATCCTTCTGCTTTTAGCGCTATCTTTGAATTCTCTATCACAAATAGTCCCATGTAGTTGGTTTTAGCATGCTAAAAAAGCTTCCCCTTTCACTTTTATACAGACTTCAGAATATAGAGAAGGAAAAATAAAGCTTCTGAGGTTTGATGAAGTGCATTCTCCGTAGCCCCCAAATGACCTCTTGATGATCTAAGCCAGTGATCACTTTTGCCATTGATAACTTTTAGGTCAATTCTTTATATAAGGATAACCTGGAACACTTTACTCCTATGAGCAATATTTCTACAGCTTGCAAGCCACTTTTCTCCTAAATATTAAATGCATATAGTTTGACATAATAAAGCTGAAGCAAGATTCAACAGGTAATGGGATATTAGGAGGAAACTTTTCAGCCCTCGTTCTGTTGGTTTGCTATATGAGCTTTGAGCTTGACGCAGTTCTAGGTTTCTGAACTTTAACTCACTCTTATTGGTGGGGGTAGGGGGGAATAGCACTGTAATTACCACTGGGTGAGGGGCGGAGGTATGTGTCAAATAAGATCTGTAAAAAGGGGCTTTGAAAATCGTATTGCAATACTTTGTTCTCTTAATATTTGATAACTTGGATATATTCACGAACTTTATAAGATCTTATTTGCTACCACTCAATTGGTTTTACTTACATCAAATCTCATTTAAAAAAACTATACCATAAACCAAACAGGCAATTTATGGTCAGTTTGCAACATCATAGCAACATATAAACAAGTATTTGAAATGAGTGAATTTGCTTTGGTCAACAGCTACATCAATCAGCTGCACAAGAACTAGATTATTCTTACCTCTCCTTTCTCTTTGCATCCTTCCTCCTCCTCCAAAAAACATATCAAAGATGTCCATGGGGGAGCCAAAACCGCCACCTGCTCCACCCTCTTTAATTGCCTGTTCTCCTCCTTTGTCATATAGTTCCCTTTTCTTTGCATCAGAGAGAACTTCGTAAGCTTGAGAAATCTGTTTAAACTGTTTGAGAATAGGGGAGTAAAATTCATTTCTTAAAAAATAAGCCTTACAAAACACAGCCACTATATTAGACATTCAATTTCAGGCAGTAATAGCAGCACTATTCACTTAATAAAGAACTCTTCAGGTATGTTTATGAGTATGTATTACTTGCCTTCTCTCCTTCATTTGGATTCTTATCAGGGTGGTACTTCAAGGCCAGTTTCCTATAAGCCTTTTTCAACTCTTCATGAGTGGCATTGGGTTTGACCCCCAAAACATCATAGTAAGTGGTTTCTTTCACCATTTTCTACAGCCTAAAATAAGAAAAAGCAATCTTTTAACCGGCTTCCAACTGGTAGTTTTAATCAGTAAAATCAGAGCTAAGGGCAGAGCACTCTGTTCATTGCCAAATCCAATTAAAGGAACACCGCCTTCTCTAAACTTTACCAAAAAAAGGTAACAATTCCTGCTATAACTGTCAGCTACAAATTCGAACAGACTAAACATAAACTAGTAATTGTCAAAAAATAATTCAAAAGCCTCCTTCTAGCAGCTGGATCCCACTCTCTCACATGAAAGCTTCTGTACTAATACGGTATAACAACAAGAGTATTATCTGGATTCCTCCTGTTTCGGTTCCCCAGAGATAGTTACAGACAGCAGTAATTAAAAAGAGCACTGACACGTTCAGTCTATTGGTTATTAGATTATCCCTGTCCTTGGTAAATCCGAGAAACGCCATATAGTCCTCAGAAAACATTTGGGCACACGGGGGGGGGGGGGGGGAGTAGGGGAATAGTTTATTAAATTGGTTATGAACACCAACTCCAGACAGCAAGCCCTCCACCCCCAAACATTAGAGGTGTTTTCCAATCACATAGCTTACAGCTTCTCCAGCTTCACCCCTGAGTCCCTCAGGCCGGCATAGTTTACACGTCGTTAGGTTTCCCCCTGCACTTGAGGCCGTCCGTCAAGGTTTCCTTCCTTTCTCCCTCCCACCCTGGATCGAAGGGGTGGAGGGGGAAGCCCAGCCCTCAACAAAGAGAGGGAGGAGAGACAAGGGAAGCGAAAGCCGCAGCCTCCGCCCGGCTCCTCCCGCAGCCCCTCGCCCCAGACTCCCTCTGCGCGTGCGCACAGGGTCGCCCACACCAAGCGAGCGCGGGAGGAGGGGGCGCGGGGACGCGCAAGGAGAGGAAGCCGAAGGCGGCCGCTCCTAGGAGATCTCGGGCTGGATGGGGAGGGAGGTTCAAGAAAGGTCTTCGGCCCACTCACTGCCTGCTGCAGATGGGGTGCTGGGGCACCACACCAGCCCTCCAAAAAGAGAATCGTGGATCCAGGAACCGATAACCTTCCCGCCCACGCGGCCAACCGCCTGCCGACGGCGGCTCCATCCGCTTCCAGGCGCCGCCAATGGCACCAGCTAGGGGACAAGCGGAAGCGCGAGGGCTGAAACTCACCGGTGAGCGGGCTGAGGCCGACGTGGAGGAGCGGGAAGGAGCGCGTAGCCGTGCGCAGCTTGGGCAGCCGCTGCTCCTCCACCTCTCACCGAGCGTTCTGGAAAGTTCCGCCCGGCGCGTCGCAGCCGTCGTCTTTTGTAGCCGAGCCCGGGTGCGTCACCCGCCGGAAGTCCCGCCCTTCCCGGCCGCTGCCACCGCCCCGCGGTTACCTGGGCAACGGCGCGGGGGCGCTTGGGTGGCGGGCGGTGCCGAAAGGCCTTGTGGGGGTGGGTGCAAGTCCAGGTTCCCGAAGCTTCTGGAGGCCTTTCCTCCACCCAACACGCCTGAGAGTACGGAAGGCTCCGGGCAGAGCCGGCACGGCCCCACTCCCACATGGCCCAGGAGTGGTGCCATTCCGAGGCAGCTCGGGGTTCTCAAATGAGCTGGGCGGCCGCCACCGCTCGTGAGGACCGGGAGGGCTTGGCTTGGGTGCAGGGCCCGCGGCAGGAGCTGTGTGCGGAAGGGGAAGGAGAACTTGTGCGGACAAGTCCTGCACCGCTCACCTCTCTCACTGTCCCCATCTCCCGTGACATGTCTACCGTCTTCTCTGTGTTAGTTCAGTCGCGAGGGTCTGGGAACCCGCTGAGCAAGGAATGTGATTGCAAAGTAGGTGTAGCAACTCCCTCCACCCCCCATCTCAAAGGCCTTGGTTCTTACTTTTTTTTTTACACTCAGTCCAAGGCATCGTTATTTACTAAATTGCGAAGTTATTAGAGATCTTTGTGCAAGTACAGGCCTAGGCACACGTTATCTGCTTTGGACCTTGCTGGTTTGAAATTGAGCACAGGGAGTCCCGGCCTGAGCCAAACCGAAGCATTTGGACCGCCTTGATGCAAACTGAGGGCCATGGACTCTGTTTTGGTCAGGCTTTCACCCAGTTTGGCTACAGAGTAGCAGCCAGAGTGGCTAACTGTAACAATTTGTTTTAATTATTTGACCTAACTTTTAACGTTCCACCGATTAGCGAACCTGGATCTACAGCCTGCAAAGTTGAGTCCTTGGATTCTTAAATGTTGGGAAGGAGACATAATGGGAAATGGGGTCTGCTGCTTATTTAGTAACACAACAAACATATCAGTGTCTAGCACCGGAAGAAGCTGGAGACGCAAAGCTGAAAATCCCAGTTCAGGGCTCACTTAGCCGGTAATAGGGAGATAAACAAATCAATGAACTACAACAGAAACCACAAGATAGCCTTCAGCAGGAGAGAGGGGCTCCTGTATATCAGCCTGGGGGTTAGGAAAGTTTTCCTGGGAAAGTGGCAGTTGAGCTGAGTTTTGAAGAAGGGAGGATAGCATTCCCAGTGATGTACAAAGTACGGGGGAAGGCTAAGGTGTGGAAGACCACTTTTAGGAAATTGCAAGTAATTAGATATAACCAAAGCTGCAGTGGTTAGAGGTGAGGCTTCAAAGCTAGTTCAGGATCTTCACCTCTTGGTATATATATCTTGTTAAGCTAAGGAGTTTGAACTTTACCCTGGAAGCATCACTGTCATCGGTGCTAACGTATTGAACATTATGTTTGTTTTTTTTTTTTTTTTTTGACTTTATTCCGTTTTAGTATAAGCGTTATACTTACTTAACCCTTAAAATGAGTTGGAAGTACAGAGTCTTGCTCTGTTTTTTTTTTTTTTTTTTTTGCAGAGTGCCATAGCTCACAGCAACCTCCAACTCCTGGGCTCAAGCCATCCTACTGCCTCAGGGTCCTGAGTAGCTGGGACTACTGGCATTTGCCCGCCTAATTTTATATATATAGTTGTTTATATATTTAGTTGTTCAGCTAATTTCTTTCTATTCTTTTAGTAGAGATGGGGTCATGCTCTTGCTCAGGCTGGTCTGGAACTCCTGAGCCTTGAACCATCCACCTGCCTCCAGCCTCTGAAAGTGCTAGGATTACAGGCGTGAGCTACCAGGCCTGGACCAGCCTTATCTTTTTCATTAATGTAAACTGCATTCCAGTCACACAGTACTATCTCCATTTTCCTAGATGCACTTTTCACCTCTCTGTACTTTTGCTTTGGCTGAAAGACACCTGGTTTTTTATAATCTTAAGTGTTACTTTCTGAAGTATCACCTCTGCTATAATATGGGGGATTCTGTCTTGGTTTGTTGTTAAATCTGTGCTAACCTTAGAAATAAAAAAGTGGGCCTGGTGTGGTGGCTCACACCTGTAATCCTAGCACTCTGGGAGGCCGGGATGGGAGGATTGCTTGAGTCAGGAGTTCAAGACCAGCCTGAGCAAGAGCGAGACCCTATCTCTACTAAAAAATAGAAAGTATGTATTGGCTGGTCTCGAACTCCTGACCTCGAGTGATCCTCCCGCCTCAGCCTCCCAGAGTGCTAGGATTACAGGCAGGCGGGAGCCACCATGCCCCACCTATGTCAAATCAATTTAACCAAGAGTTTTCATAGTAAATATTACCATTTCTAGTGTTTCTTAAAAACTGCCATATTTAGTATTTTTTTCTGCCCCTGGAACCCAGCTGAAATTCCCACAACTTTGAGAAAGATGTGTGACGCATGCATGAAAATGCCTCCATGAGACTGTTGACATAAGACTATGAAATCTTTGCTTGATACTTCATTATGCTAAAATAAGACTATGGAATCTGATATTGAAAATACTTTTAAAATCTACAAGCTCATGTGTTAGTGAGCTAAATTCTTTATTAATAAAATAAAAGCCATAAAAGTTTTTCTTTTTTAAAAAGGACAAATATGTACTTATTTGCTTGTATGTGCATAGGATATTTCTGAAGAATACATAGAAATGTGAACTAAAATGGTTGCCTGTGGGGAGAGCCAGGTGCTGGGTAGAGGTGGATGGGAGGGAGCCATTTCACAATACACCCATTCAAATATAGTACTTAAAATTAGAGTATAAAATTCTCTCTTCCCTATTCAAGCTTTAAACTAGTAACTTGTCACCCCAACAGCAAAGTTAGGTGATTCTTAGTTGCCTTAAACACCATCATTAAATCTGTTCTGTTTGACTTTTTTTTCGTTCATAGAAACATATTGCAATGATGCTGAAAGTTGTCCTGATGAATATTCTGTCTTTTCAGTAATAGAAGTTAACACTTTTAAGAAGCATTCTGACTCACTTAAAATACAAAAATATCAGCAATAACTTTATATGTGATCTTTTTTTATATTGAAATGGGATCATTATACATGCTGTTTGCACCTTGCTCTTTTCACTTTGTCATCTTACTATGTCAGGATAAATAAATATATCTTGTTATTTTTAATGACTTCATAGTATACATTAATAGTATGCAGGTACCATAATTTAGTTCTCCTATTGAACATTTCAGCAATTTCCAGTGTTTTACAAACAGTACTGCAGAGAAATTCTCAAATATAGCTTTGGGTTCTCATCAAATATTTCTGTGGGATGGACACCTAGAATTGAAATTGCTGAGGCAATGTGAATGCAGATTTAAAATTGTGATAAATAACTTTTCTTCCAGCAGCTTCCAGCAGTGCGTGAGTGGGCCTTGCCAATATGGGGGATTCTGTCTTGGTTTGTTGCTGTTAAATCTTTGCTAACCTTAGAGATAAAAAATCATGTCTTTTTGTTTTGAGTTTCTTTAGTAAGCTTAACCATCTTTTAAATGTTTACTGTTTCTTCTGTCAACTGTTCATTTGTATTATTTTGTATGGTGTAACTTCACTATTTTAATGATATGTAATAATACCTTTATATTAGAGATAGATGTTAGTCTATCATGTGTTGCAATTATATTCTGTAATGTATTGTTAGCTTTTCACTTAGTATCTATACCTGTGTATATTTTTGGGCCATGTAAAGATTTTAATTTTTATGTAGATAAATTTTGACTCTTTTCCCTTTTGGCCTTTTCCTCTTTCCCTCCTTTCTCCTCTTAGTACTTCATCAATCCAACATTATAAATTCTCCCAGGTTTACTTCTAGTACTTTCATTGTTCTTCTTTCTTTCTTCTTTTTTTTTTAAGAGACGGGATCTCTCTATGTTGCCCAGATTGGCCTCCAGCTCCTGGGCTCATTCGATCTTCCTGCCTCACCCTCCTGAGTATCTGGGATTACTGGCATGTGCCACCATGCCTGGCATCATTGTTCCATTTTAGACTTAATTTTTTATTCCATCTAGAATTTATTTATGTGTAAGGGCTAAGGTTTATTAGTAACTGAGTTTTATTTTTCTCCAAATGGCAAGCTAGTTTGTCTAATACTAATCTATTTTTCTTGACTAATTCACATTAAAAAATGTGAAATGCCATTTTTTTTTTTTTTTTTTTTTTATTTTTTCATCCAAACTCTCACTTGGAATGAGCTGAGTTTTGAAGAAGGGAGGATAGCATTCCCAGTGATGTACAAAGTACGGGGGAAGGCTAAGGTGTGGAAGACCACTTTTAGGAAATTGCAAGTAATTAGATATAACCAAAGCTGCAGTGGTTAGAGGTGAGGCTTCAAAGCTAGTTCAGGATCTTCACCTCTTGGTATATATATCTTGTTAAGCTAAGGAGTTTGAACTTTACCCTGGAAGCATCACTGTCATCGGTGCTAACGTATTGAACATTATGTTTGTTTTTTTTTTTTTTTTTTGACTTTATTCCGTTTTAGTATAAGCGTTATACTTACTTAACCCTTAAAATGAGTTGGAAGTACAGAGTCTTGCTCTGTTTTTTTTTTTTTTTTTTTTGCAGAGTGCCATAGCTCACAGCAACCTCCAACTCCTGGGCTCAAGCCATCCTACTGCCTCAGGGTCCTGAGTAGCTGGGACTACTGGCATTTGCCCGCCTAATTTTATATATATAGTTGTTTATATATTTAGTTGTTCAGCTAATTTCTTTCTATTCTTTTAGTAGAGATGGGGTCATGCTCTTGCTCAGGCTGGTCTGGAA